AATTAAATTTTCAACAACACTAAAAAAATTTAATTTATAAGGCCATAATTTATAATTTATTATTTTAAAATTAACAACACAAAAAAAAATAATTTTATTTAATATGTAAATTTAATTTTTTAACTACACTAAAAAAATTTAATTTATAAGGCCATACTTTTTAATTTATTATTTTTAATTAAATTAAATTTATAATTAAATTTTTTTATTTAATATATAATTATAAATTAACAATACTAAAAAATAATTTATAAATATTCAAAAGACTATTTTACCCTTTTCTAATTGTTTGCTAAGTAATAGCATGGGGTAAAATAGACATTTCAGAGTCTAATCCCATGAGATACCAATCCCATGGAAATAATCCCAACCCCCCATGGGATAGGATAGTTCCACAAATATGGGACTAATAGTTTGGGGAGACTATTAGTCCGGAACAAAAAATTGAAACAAACAATAGATTATTAGTCCGGTGAGACTAATAGTCCAATCTCACACCCTAATCCTTCAAAACAAACACACCCTAAAACGACACTTTCCCGTATATAATAAATATCTCATCAATTTTCTAAATCTAAAATAAATATTTTTTTGTCGCAATTAATTTGACCAAAAATAAAAATAAATAAATAACAAAGTGAAAATTTAAATTTTTTTAAAATTATATAAAATGGACTAGTATTTTTATTTATTATTTTTTTTTCATAGAATTGGTTTTTGATTTAAAAAAAAAAACTGAAAACTAAACGAATTAAATAAATAATTTCAAAAAGATTACTTTATAACGAAAAAAATAATGGTACACACTCTTCAAACAGTGTGCATTATATATACCTTATAATTAAAAAAATGATATAATTTTATTTTTTTGAGTCATAATTAAAAACAAGTCATAACTAAATATAACATGAGGCACAATTAAAGAATTCGTGAGTCATATTAAAATGATATCAAGATTAAAGAAAAAAATTAATAATAACTTAAAAAAATGACATAATTAAGGGCACATTTGGCAACAAGCTATTTAAGTAACTTTTTAAAATTTTTGAATAAAATGTAATGTGAAAAAATTAATATGTTTTAGATGAATTTTTTAATTTTTTATGAAAAAATATGAAAAGAAATAATATAAAAATATAAAAGTTGCTAACTTGACAATTTTACCCTTGGCGTGTTCAGCCCGTGACATGCTTCTGACATGGCAGACTGCTGCCAACCTGGAAGTGGTCATTTTGGGGGTGTTTGTTTCAGCTTTTCAGAGCCAACTTACGACTTTTAACTTTGAAAAAGTTATTTTGGACTGTTTGGTTAAACTTATTTCAAACAGCTTTTGATTCTAACAGCTTATTTTAACTCAAAAAAGCTGATTCTGAAAAACTGTTCACCCTTTGCTTTTGATTATCAGTTTCTGCTGTGGATATGTTAATTTATGGTTATACTCTTAAATTTTTTTATTTTTTATTTTTTTTAAAATAAAAAAATACTCAAATGGATTATAGATTATTATTATTATTTTTTATGAGAAATGTAGACAAAAAAAAAAATTAATTGAAAAAGCTATTTCACAGTTTATTTAACAAACACTACTCAGCAACTTAAATCTATAATCCAACAGTTACACCAAGCAGATTAACAACTTCTGATTAAAGTCATAATTATAATCTGTTAAGTTATAATCTATAAGCTGTTTTAACAGCTACACCAAACGGGGTCTTTATGTCGGTAGATGGTTTTCTCTTTTTTTAATTTTTTTTTTTTAAATTTCGAACAAAAATGAACTTTGACTTGACAACATATATATCAATATATACTCCATTTGTTTTAAAATAATGTGAGTGTTTGGGAAGTGAGTTTTTATGTAGATTTTTTTAATTATAAGATATTATTAGAGAAATTTTTTTTGGTATTTGGAAAGATAGTTGGGTTTTTTTGTGGTTGAATGTGATATTTATGAGAGAAAAAGTGAAATGATTATGAGGTTAGATGTGATATTTTGTTTGAATTTATTTTTTTTGATTTTGCAAAAAGTTTGAATATTTTGTAATGAATAATTCTTCCTTTTTTTTTTATAGTGTAATAATTACACTTAAAAAAAATTAAAAAATTATCGTTTGATAGTATAATTTTTTAAAATTATCAATTGTCGTAGTTATATTCTGGCCTAGTTTGGGAAGACTAAATAAGTGCACTTTTTGACTTTTTATGAAATATGGGTTGGGTTTGGGTTGGGTTTGAAGTGATATGTTAGAGAGGTGATGCGACTTAAATAAGATGATGTGACTTAAATAGGATAGTGACTTTTTGACTTTTTGTCTTTTTTGTCTCATGCCAAACTTGACCTCTATCTGTTGTTAATGTTAAAAAAGGGCAACATAACAAGTTTATATTAATTTTTTTGAGTAATTTTTGAGAAAGGAGTAATAGTTTGGGATAATAAAAAAAAAATAGAATGATGAACTACTATTTTAGAATGGGGGGAATAACATATTCTGCTCGTTTTATTTGTGTTCTGATAAAATAGTGATATGGAATGTAATTTATGTGCTGTAATAATGTTTTCAAATTTTTATTTGAAAAATACTTGAGACCCTCATTTTAGAGAACCCTCATGATCTTAGAATAATTGTGATTGGTCATGTATATTTTTATTTTTGTTTTTCTATTTCTCTGACAAGTATATGTGGGGTCAGGAGGGTGGAGTGTTTGTGATGGTTTGTATTATTTTTATTTTTATTTTAAGTCCTCGTTTCAAGTCACAATCAAACTATTTGGTAAAAGTCTGCATTCCAATGTCAAATCATAATTAAACTCTATTCATAATACTCATGGCTGTGATAAGTATGGATTCCCTTAGGTTCATTTTTTAACCTAATTTTAATAATAACTGTTCATATTTTAGAATTTGTCATATACATTATATTTGTAAAAAATCAAATTGATCGAATATCGAAAAACCTAACAATTGTTTATTAAAAAAAATTTAATAAATAGTTTTATTGTTTAATAAAATTTTTAGATCATGTGGTTTTTGATATCCGATCAACTTGATTTTTTACAGATACGATATACATGACAAATTTTAAAATATAAACAGTTCGAATCATTAAAATTAAACCCAAAAGTCGGCTCAATGACCCATCAAGTAAGAAATTAAGTAGGGAAGTCAAGAAGGGGATCCTTACTCGGCTGTGATAGTCGTCCATTAATGTTTGACATATAGGAGGGGTAAATACGAAATAAAGACACATCAATGAGGGGTAAAAATGTCTTTTTACATTGAATCTAGCACACTTCACGTGAAGGCACTGTGTATAGATTTGTAGGGTAAAAATTATAGATTTTTTTTGATGATTTTTTAATTTTTTAATTAAAATTACCATTTGTCAAACAGTACCTAAGACTTTGTTTGTTATAACCTAAAAAAGTCAAAAAGTCACTATTTTATTTAAGTCTCTGTTTGGAAATATGTTGGCTTTTTGGCTTTTTTAGCCTGGGCTAAAAAGTTCAGTTTGAGAAGGGATTTTTAGCTTTTTGACTTTTTTAATTTTTTTTTGTGAGAGAATAGTAGAATGATTATGAGTTGGATGTGATGTTTTGCTTGTTGTGGCTAAAATAGCTTATTTTGTCTTTTGTGACTATTTTAGCCACAAATCAACTTGCCAAACACCACCTAAGTCATATTATTTTATTTAAGTCACATCACCTCTCTATCACATCATTTCAAATCTAACTCATATTTTATAAAAAAATAAAAAATACACTTATTTAAACCATTCAAAATCACCCCTAAATATCTATATAATACACCCTTGCTAAAAGAGGTGTATATTAAAATTTCCCATAACATTAGAAAGAAAGAAATCCACATAAAAGTCTTAAAGATGATTGGTGGTGTCCCACCAAAAAGAAAAAGATGATTGGTGGAACACACGTAGGGCTGAGTAAGGAATCCGTGAAATCCGTAATCCGATCCAGTCCAGTCCAATCCGATAGGTTTGGATTTGTTTTTTGAATCCGTGGTTACATAAAAGTCTTAAAGATGATTGGTGGTGTCCCACCAAAAAGAAAAAGACGATTGGTGGAACACACGCGGTGCTCTGCCCGTTTGGCAAGTTAGGTTAGGCGTTTTTTTTTTTTTTTTAATTATTTTAGTCATAAAAAATAAAATAAATTATTTTAGTCACAAAAAATAACATATTATATTCAATTCATAATTATTACACTTTTCTCTCACAAAAAAAGTTAAAAAGTCCTTCCCAAACCAAGCTTTTTAACCCAGACTAAAATAATCAAAAAAGTCAAAAAATCAAAAAGCCAACCCACTTCCCAAACCAACCTTCTATGATTTTTGAGTTTTTTGAAACGATGATACTATATGTATCAATTAGTATATTAACTAGTGTACTAACACTAGTTATGACATTATTATTAATTTTATTTATTAATTACATTACAAATGTTAAAAATCTCTTAAATTATGTTATATCATCAATTGATACATTAATTAATACATATCGCATTATTCTTTTTTAAAGTCAATGGACAAGAAAAAAATTCTGAAATTGTTTCAAAATATATAATAAAAATTGTTGCTGTGAAATAATGAAATAAATTTTTGAATTTTTTTTTACATGAGTGTATATTTAGAAAAATATTTCTAACTTAGGCCAAGTTTGGCTAAACTAAAAAAGTGCACTTATTTCATCTTTTTATCTTTTTTGAGTCACATCAATCAACATCTACTCTCTTCTTTTTCTACACATAATACAAGAAAAGTAAAAAAGTACACTTATTTAGTCTTCCCAAACTTGGCCTTAATGACAGATTTTATAAACATTAAAAAAGTAAAATCATAAATTTGTAATTAAATTTTAAAAATACCTCTCACCCGTAATTTTTTTCTAAATTCTTAAAATAAATTTTCAGAACAATTTTTTTTTAATTATTAATTTTTATTTATTTATTTTTTCTATAAATCCCCCATCACATCTGTTTTCAGTCCAGCAAACCTCCCTTGTTTTTGGGTCATCACATTCACAGCAGCCATGTTAGACCTGGAGCTCTCAATTTCTTTGCTCCCTTGCCTTTTATCCTTACTTTTCTTCTTCTTCATCATCAATTCCAAGTCTATTTTCACAAGCTTTTGTTCCTCCAACAAGTCCGCTAAGAGTCCAAGATCATACCCACTTATCGGCTCTTTCCTCTCATTCTATGCAAATCGAACCCGACTCGTTCAATGGACATCAGATATTGTGACCAGCACATCCACTTCCACCTTCGTCCTTCACCGCCCTTTGGGCCGCCGCCAAGTCTTAACTGCCAATCCTTCCAATGTTCAGCATATTCTCAAGACCCATTTCCATATCTACCAAAAAGGCGAATTCTTTCGAACACACATCTTCGACCTACTTGGCGATGGCATCTTTAATGTGGACGGCGAGAACTGGAAGTTCCAGAGACAAGTTGCTAGCCATGAATTCAACCCCAAATCTTTACGCAAATTTGTCGAAACTGTTGTCGACACGGAGCTCTCAGATCGCCTCATTCCTATCTTCTCCGCCGCAGCTGCGAACAAAACTGTGCTTGATCTTCAGGACATTCTTCAGAGATTCGGATTTGACAACATATGCAAGATTGCTTTCGGACACGATCCTGCCTATTTGCTGCCATCTCTTCCTCAAGAAAAATTCGCTTTAGCCTTCGAAACTGCTGTTCAAATCAGCAATGAAAGGCTCAGAGCCTTTCATCCCCTGATTTGGAAAACTAAACGGCTTCTCGACATTGGATCTGAGAAACAGCTTCGAATTTCTGTCAATGAAGTTCGGGAATTCGCCAGAGAAATAGTCAAAGAAAAGAAGCAAGAACTGAGTGAAAAATCATCGCTCGAATCCGTTGATCTTTTATCACGATTCGTTAGTTCTGGACATTCAGATGAAAACTTCGTCACCGACATAGTCATCAGCTTCATATTGGCAGGTCGAGACACCACATCGGCGGCCTTGACATGGTTCTTCTGGCTAATCTCGAGACACCCAGATGTGGAAAATGAGATTCTGAAAGAGATCAATGAAAAGTCGGAAGATGCGAGTTTTGAGGAAGTGAAGGACATGGTTTACACGCACGCATCGTTGAGCGAGAGCATGAGACTATATCCGCCAGTCCCCATTGACTCAAAAGAAGCGATAGATGACGACGTGTTGCCGGATGGGACGGTAATCAAGAAAGGTACGAGGGTGGCTTACCATCCATACGCAATGGGGAGATCGGAGAAGTTGTGGGGGAGGGACTGGGCAGAGTTCCGGCCAGAGAGGTGGTTGGAAAAGAGAGACGAGGCGGCCGGAAAGTGGAGCTTCGTGGCAAGGGACCCATACACTTATCCGGTGTTCCAAGCTGGACCGAGGATATGCCTAGTTTGAATTTATTTTTTTTGATTTTGCAAAAAGTTTGAATATTTTGTAATGAATAATTCTTCCTTTTTTTTTTATAGTGTAATAATTACACTTAAAAAAAATTAAAAAATTATCGTTTGATAGTATAATTTTTTAAAATTATCAATTGTCGTAGTTATATTCTGGCCTAGTTTGGGAAGACTAAATAAGTGCACTTTTTGACTTTTTATGAAATATGGGTTGGGTTTGGGTTGGGTTTGAAGTGATATGTTAGAGAGGT